CACCTGGCTGTAAGGCAAGAGGAAGCCAGGCTTTGCTGTGATGTTGGGAAAAGCCAGGTTTGAATCTCCTGCTGTTTCAGTGTAGCTGCGATATAGGCACCAAGCAGCCACCATCACACAGAAGCAGATACTCAGTAGATACTCAGTAATGTGCCCTAAGTTACTGACCATCTCTGTTTCTTAGTGCTTTTCTTTCATAGAGCCAAGTGAAGCATAGTCTCAGCTGAGGCAGAACTTCTCTACTTCCCTGAATATATAGCCAGAATATAGCATTTCATGCGGTATGGAAAAACAAGTAATGCCCACTGCACGTCTCAGTGGTGGGCTGGAGAATATCCCAGACACTAACATGGGACTTTTAATCTTCATGCAGTAAACATGTTTTCCCCTAAAGATAGCTTAGTCTACCAAATGACCCTGGTTATTGAAATCATCCACTGACTTCTTAATAAGCATTCTGTTCCAATTTATGTGTACAGAATAGAGAAGGATTGAGAAGGATTTCCTGTTGTTGTTGTTGATGTTGTTTTCCACACCAGAAGAATTTAAATAATCAGTATTTTAAACTAAACTTAAAATTCAAAGAACTCTACTTGTGAATGTCCTTTAGCTGAAACAGCCTTTCAGCTGCTGTAAACAGTGCAAAGGGCTTGGATATAACTCCTTGGCTCTTTGCAATGCTTCTCTTTTTATCTACCCCTTACAGAGATGCAATTTTAAAGAAGATTTTAAGCACTCCCCAAAGACCGAATACCTTTAAAGGGCACTGAAAATTGCTGCCTCTGTCAGGTTCAGGCCTATCTTGATAACAAAGCTCTGTTCCTGCTTTGCATCCATAACTGCCTGTGCATCCATCCTCTCCTTTACTGTCTTGTCTATGTACATATAAGGATCCTTGGCGCAGGAATGGCTTCTAGTTCTAAGTCCATGAAATCCTTAGCATAGCAGAGACCCTGTTCTCCTATAATTCTTTATCATAAGAATACTGAGCAAAGTAACTGCTGATGTCAGTGCTGAACTGGATGAACTTGGGCAGCTCCGTACCTGGTTACCCAGCCCGAGCACGCACGCACGCATGCACGCGCACACACACACACACACCATAGAGCTTCAAAAAATCAGTATGACCCAATAAAACTTTTTGCAGGCACTTTGTTAATTGAAATTGTAACTTGTGCTGTCTTGGGGGATAGTCATCAGCAGGAGAGATGATGAGAATATTTAACAGGAACTTTGAACTGTCCTTAATAGTGGTAGTATTTGAAGGCTGAAGCAACAAAATGCTCTCTGTCTTTTGACATACTGAAGAGTAAGAAAATGGAAGGGACGGCAAAAAGAGTTAGTAATTGCAAAAGAATCGTTTCCAATTATCTCAAGCACTTACTTTTCCTCTTTGGCATGTTTAGCCAGGTCAGAATTTCAGGTAGGTGCCCTCCAGTGACAGCTACTATTATTTGCTGAATTTTATAATGTAAAAGTCATTCTTTTGCATTAGTGTGTAATGTGTTTGTGTACACATTTATGGAAGCTGAAAATAAAAGTGGATTCCAATGATGAAATCTTAACCCAAACTGCTCTAGTACTCTAATATTATCCAATTATAGGAAAAGCAATGTTTAATTTGGAAAGAGGAGGTACCAGTTATATGATGAATTATGGGGATCTAATTACAGGGCAAGATTCTTGTTAAAAATGGTATTACATAATGTGTGAGTAAAAGTTCTTAGGATTTAATAAACTGGTCTTCCTGCATTTTTCAGTTCTTTTTATTGAGAAAGGTGATCTCTTTGCTTCATGGACACAAGACCAGGGAGTTAGGAACTGGAAATAAAAAGGGGAAGACAAGCAAGTGGAATGGCAGGGGAGCCACTGTCTTATTACATAAACCACAGGGGAAAAAAAAAAAAAGTGCAATTGCACTAGCCCTGCTCTATTTGCAAGAACATGCTTCGTTCCTAGAAACTTTCCATTCGTGTATCAGTTAATCCACTGAGCAAACCACCTACCAATAAACAGTACAGCTTTTGTGGCAAGAATATTCTGGCCCAAGTGTTATCTGTCCTGTAGAAACCTCTGAGCAGGCTGCTTTGCTTCCCCTCTGCTTCTGTGGATGGAGCCAGGGGGTAACAGCATGTCACTGCCAGTCCACTTTGCTTAGGTGTGCCAACACCAACAGAATCAACACGAGCTAGAAATGTAACTTTTAACTATCTTACACTGCACTTACTGCTTCTTGCAGAGCTTTCTTGGGCTAACAGCAAGCCTTAAAGGGATGTGCCAAAGTCAGTGCAAGCTGTAAGCTCCCCATGCTGTGAAGAATCAAATACTCTTTTTAAAATGCAGCCCTCACAGGTCTGCATGACAGAGATAGGAGAAGACAGTGCAGTGCAGTGTTTGTGTCAGCTATGACAGAAGTGTGATAAATGTGCTGTCAGAGTCCTACAGCTCTATCTGTTTGCTGTCTGGTGGTTGCATGATTCAAGATCAGTTTATGAGTTTCTTCTGGAACCAGATGGTTGCAAGGCAACAAAACAAATGCCAGCTACATATAAATGTCAAATGTTCAAACCATTACATGTCAACATACACAGGGTGTGCAGCCAGCAGTGCTGCAGAGCACAAAGCTAGAGTAGAGAGAGGCAGTGGTCTCTTTTAACCAAAGAAATGCAGAATTTGGGAAAACTCTGACTCCAGTGGAAATACTTGCAAAAATAAATCACCTCCTTATAACAAAAATATGACCAGGTCTCCATGTCATGAGATAGCCTGCAGTATATGGCATGAAAGTGAGTTCTGTCAGATTTAATTACTTTTTTTCTTGCAGCTTTAAAAGGAACTGGCTTCAAAATGAAGACAGTTCCTTATTAAAACCTAAATATAAAAGATGAGATTACTAATCATGAGGAATTTACCAACAGAGACAGCATCTAATCCTGTGCAATATCCTGTGCAATACTTCAGTATCTGTGATATCTGCGGCATTCCAGAGAATTATTTTTTGGCATTAATTAGTCTTCTTAATTAGCCTAGTCAGACAGAATCTAACTGCAAGGCCTTTGTGGCTTTGGAGAGCACACTTCATCACACTTCATGCTTTATTCCAGATCAAAGCATTCTGCCTAGTAGTTGTGCCATTTAATGCTAATCTTGATCCTGTAGTTTCTGTATGTTCTGGTAGACATGAATGTGATTTTATAATGAATTTTTCAAAATCTTCCCAAACAAATTCAGCAATAAAAGGATTTCCCCACTATCAGAAATAAGACACTCAAATGCCTTGTGATGAGTACAACCTTTTATAACAAGGGCTGGATGTATTTTCTTTTGAGCTGCACTTCATTCATTTGCTAGAAATCCAGGAAACATTTGAATTGAGTTAGTACCAAACAGCGCAAAGGATGAAATGTGGTTATCATCATGTCATGCACAAGGCAGAGACTCATGCAGAATCCACTCCCTCCAGAATGTTCCCATCAATATTATGGGTGTGAGAAGGAGCCTGCAGCCATCTGGCCTTTATTAGCTGTGTTTTCAAGCCTGATGTACATGAGGAAGAAGCCTAAGAGACAGTCTGTTACAGCCAAAGATTTTCACCAAATGCCCAGGCCCTGGATGAGTGATCCTAGGAAACTACCAGCTAATGAATATAACATGGCATTTTGCACCAGTGATGCCGTTGAGCTGATAAGTTATAAAATGTAGTTTGTGATCGTCTCTCTTTTTAAAATTAAGATAATTAAGATAAAATTAAGATGTACCGTCCATTTCAGAGCCTTTATCATCACTTTGTTTTTCTCTGCAAGATGTATCCAGAACAAATCTTTTGGTAAAATCTGTGTCATTCTAAAATTTGTTTCTCCCAAGTGGTTGCAAAATTGTTGTCCTTCCAACACACCAAGCTTTCTTGCCATCAGTTACAACTGCACAACAGTGTAATAGGATTATATCCCATGAGAGTCAGCAGCACACCGCTCTGGGCTCCTCTGCGAGCCTCTTGAGGTGAAGTGCTGCCTCATATGTGTGTGTTCAGCAGCCCAGACAGGGAGCTTAGTTCCCTTACGTGGCTGTGGGACTCCTCTGTTCCAAAAACTGCAAGCAGGATGGATCAAAATCCACATTAGCCTTGACCTTACAAGACCCCTGCATGCTAAATTCCTACTGACTTCAGTGTGCGGTTGGGTGTAGGATGTTGGCAAGACAGAGGCTGGGGTTTCACTGCAGGAAGCATTAAGGGACATCCCACTGTACGCCCCAAGAAGGCTTCCAGGCCTTAATGAGAGCCTGGCACGGTCTGGGTCAGTGGTTAGAGAGACTGTGGAGATTTATGTGGAGCCCTCAGAGAACAGGCAGTCACTCCATCACGGTTGTTCTCAGGGTTTGTTCTCTGCAGCAATTTGCACAGCATGTGGGGAAACGGCTACCAAATCCATCAGCTCCAGCCCCGGGCGGGGTGGCCGTGCCTCTGTAATTGCTGGCCTAAATGTGGTCCCGGCTCCACCCTGGACAAAGCATGATCTTGTGAAGTCCTGGGTCAGAAAATGACATTTTTTCTCAGAATTTTGGAAACTGCAGTTCTTACTAAAAAAAAAAAAAAAAAAAAAAAAACAAACAACTTTTTTTTTTTCTTGCAAGTAACATAAATCAGAACAAATCCAACTGAGACTGTTAAAACAAAGCTGCTCTTTTCTTCCCAAGCTGAAAAGTTTTGATGTGACTGAAATGAAATAGTAAAAACAGAACAACCTTTATTGACTATTTTAAATGAAATTTCACTGTAATCTCTGCAATTCTGCAAAAGGCTTCTGATTTGATTTCCCTTGCTGTTCCCAGAGCCTCGATGCATTAATATTTATTACCTGGATTTTCACAACAGGTAGACTGGGTTGCTCCCTCCTGTCGCTGAGCTCACTATAACTTTGAATTTCCTACCAGGGCTGTGCTCCCAGGCTGTTGGTGCCGGTTCCATGGTTAGAACAGGGAAGGGAAGAGCCAGGGTTTGGTTTTCAGTATGATTTGGGTTTGTCTTTTCCAGCTTCACATTCTTGGTTGCAGAATGGGAGACAGTGCAACTTCTTTCATCCAGATGTGAAATTTTGAGATGCTCAGCACCACTCGCCCTGGTGCAATGGGTTTTCTTCAAAAATGGATCCTGTGGGCCCACGAAGAGCACCCAGCAGGTGTGTGCTCTGACGTGCCCTTGCAGTGGTGCTGCAGCATCTCCCGAGGATCAGGGTGCAGACCATCATGTAAGCGTGGTGTCTTCTGCCAGCCAGAGGCTCAGAGCCATTTCAGGACACTGAGAGCAAAAAGAAGCTCCTGTGCTCCCCAGGAAGGGAGCTGTCCTTCTGGAACTTTGCTTTCTGTTTCTTCTTCCTCCAAGGACAAGTGGCACTCAGAAATGACCAGTGGTTTCCATAGGTGAGAATTTTTACTTTCAAAAATGATGAAGAAATGAGGTTAACAATGTTTCAGTTCTCAGAAATCTGGGACTATGCTGAGAATAGATCTTCTCCCCTGAAAACAGTAATGCAAACTGAAAGGCTCTCCACTGGAAACCGACATCGACAGGACTCTTGTGGGGACGGAGCTCTCCTCATCCCCCTGCTTCTTCCACAAGGTCAGAGCAGGGGCACGTGCAAGTGGGATGCCCAGGGGCAGTGGGAGGCTCTTTATCTCTCCTCTGTCTCCCACGACCACTGTGCTCCTGCTGATAAATCCTCCTCGCTTTGTCCTTGCGCTCAGTGAAAGGCTTTCCACGTTGCCAGCACAGTTAACTTTATCTCCGTTGCCGGTCTCCTTGTTCCTCTTCCCACACAAAACAAGCAGCCTGACAGCGGACAGCTCATCGGGGGAACAGCTAGAAGCCGTGCCTGCCAGCAGCCCGTGGCGTGCAAGAGCTGCCCCCCAAACCACACCAAACCACCTCCATTCACTACAGGGAAGATTTCTGATGCCCCAGACTGATACCTGAGACGAGACAGCACTCATATGCTTCATTATCTGTCAGAGAGAGATGGAAAACGGATGATAAGGAAAAGAGGTGGGGTTGGGAAGCGCTCTGTTGACATCGGTAGTGAAGAGGTGATGCGGAGGCTCCTGGGTGGCCCTGGGGAAGCTGCCAGCTGTGCCTCCTGGCTCCCCAGGAGGGGTGAAGCCTGCATGCCTGAGACCAAGCCATGCATTTGGGAAGGACCCAGGGCACCTCTGCACTCACTATAGCTGGGATGAAAGGTCTATTCACCAAAGTAGCTGAAGTCAGTTCTCATGGAGGCCCAGCCTGTTTCACTCTGCCAGGAAAAGACTGAAGAGAAACAACGGGGACTGGGATGGGGCCTGCTGTCCTGGCCTGCAAGCTGAGGATGCAGGGTCTGCTCCCTGTTGTAATACTGTAAAATCTTATCCATTAGTTTTGTCTCCTCAGGCCTTAGCCACCATCCTTACTGAAGGAGGAGCAAAATATCTTTCCGTCACAACATGAGGTCGCCCTATGGACAAGCCTGGGAAGCTCTGCTTTATCCCATTCCCCTCAAGTCTGGCAGATTCACATAAGTGCCCCATGGCCTGATAAAGTCAGCATTACAAGACAGCCACCACTGTGAGTCACGGGCTTACCTACTCGGTGCCAGGCCAGCGCCATGCCCAGGTGTCTCCACCACGGGTTCCCACAGGAGAGGCCCCTGGACATGCTCGCTGAGCGGGGCCTGGCGCAGCAGACGCCTGCTGACAGTAATTGTGCTCCCCGGGGGGAACAGGGCTGACTCACGCTCAAAGTTTTTGTTCAACGTCTGGGATGGGCAGAGTTTTGCTCTGAGTCACACACAGCCTGACAACTGGGAAGATGCTACTGCGGGCTTTGAGATGAACGCTGCGGAGTGAAAGATTTCATGTGGTTGTCGCAGGGCCTTTATGGAGATCATTTGCTCTCAGCACTACCAAAACCGCTACACTGCCGCAGCCGTTCCCATGGCACACTCCAGGAGCTGAGTTTTGCACAGGAAATGCTCCAAACACTCACTTAGCAATTGCAAGTAAATACATAATTGGAGCTAAACACTCAAAAGCCTGAGGAGCCAACATCACCGCCCTCCCAAGTTATACTTGCATGTAAAGATCCCAAGGAGGCCCTTGCTGTCCTTGTTAGGATCCCAGACGAAGACCAAACTGCTCTTTCTCTCTCCAAAGGCAGCAGCTGCTCAACTGATGCTAGCGGAGGAGCCGCTGCGGAGCTCGGCTGCTGAGGAGGACCCCAGCAGGCTGCCTCCGACTCGGGCCAAGAACAATATTACAGTACAATGTAGTGAGTTTGTTTTTCACAATGTTCTCCTAGCTTCCATGGGCTGGGCGCATGACTCAAAATTAATGGAATGCAATAACTAATTTCACTTGTCAAGCCAGCATTACCCTATCTCCTGCACTGGAAGTGGTGTTGCATCACAGTGGGTCTCGGTTTAGGGCGGAATCCTGGAGGAAATCGTGCATGGGGAAGTCATGGACAGGCCAAAGCTGGGAACAGATTCAGCATATCTAAGAGGGTTACTTTTACTGCTGATAGTCTCCTTCTAATTAAATGTAAGCCTGCCTAAGAAAATAGAAGTTGGGGTCAAGCTTTCTGGATGGAAAACCAAATGACAGGGCCACATGTCATGTTTCACAGAGGGGAGAAGCAGTGCAAGGGAGTAGAGATTGGCTGGGTCTCCACGCCTTTTGGATCAATTCTTCAAGTGCAGACACCCGAAGGATTTGGTGCTGGGTGAGCATGGGGGCAATGCAAAGCAGGGGTCTGCTCCCCAGCACTAGGTTTCCTTGCACTCCCTCCTTGCAAATCCCAAGCTGGCTCTCCATGTAGGGCACCTGGGCTCCAATGTGAGGTGGAGATGGAAACCTGAGCTCACAAAAAAGCAGAGACCTAATTTGATTCTTGGATCTCAGCAAAGATGCTGCAGATTTCCCATCCAGGGTGAAGCCAAGCACCTGTAGCACTGTGGAGAGCCACTACCTCAAGGAAGTATTGCTTCCCTCTGTGGGAGCACAGGTAGGGGCTGAAAGGGTTGGAGCTGCATGAGCCACTGTCGCAATTACTGGTGTTGCTGGATGAATATTTCCCTTAGTGCTGTGCTGAACTGTAATCTGTGGGGAAAGAAAAGGAAGGAAAGAGAGAGAGAGAGAAAGAGAGAGAGAGAGAGAGAGAGAGAGAGAGAGAGAGAAAGAAAGAAAGAAAGAAAGAAAGAAAGAAAGAAAGAAAGAAAGAAAGAAAGAAAGAAAGAAAGAAAGAAAGAAAGAAAGAGAAAGAAAGAAAGAAAATGAAAAAAAAAAGAGAAAGAAAACACTTAAGACATTAGATGCAGAGAAAGATTAGTCATAGGAATGAATTTAGTGCAGGTTCTCAGATGGAGGACATGGCTCGGTTCAAGCTGTACTGAATCACAGGCTCGAGGGCTCTGGGAACCCACCTTCAGAACGGCGTTCACAGCACATCTGTGATTTCTCTCTCTGCAGCATGTGCACCACTGCCGGAGAGCAGGTGAGGCACTGGCTTGTGTCACTTGCACACTCGACTCCTACCTTCAGGATGGATTTAGTCTTTTTCTTTTGGCCAAGTCAATCCTTCACTCCTAGGAAAGAAAATTATATTCCAGACAAACTTGGTTTTCCCTCCCTGTACTGCTGAAAATTACTTGCTTCAGGGGTGAAGAATCATGAAGCTCAGGCTTTGAAAATTTATTTTCTCTAAAGGAAACAATCTCACACCAGTGAGTTTTCTGCATGAATAATTGTTTGCATCCCTCATTTGGTGCACACCGAGTCAAACCTTTGGGCTCTGGCATCCTGGAGAGCCACCGAGAGCAGGAGACCAGGGCGATCTCTGGTGTCGAAACCACAGGCAGCGCTGCCTCGCTGCAAGAGCTCTAGCTCACATTTCATCATTTTTTAATGATTTCTGTTTTAATAAAAGATTTATACTTAGGAAGATCTGTTCCAAATCAACTTCAGCAAAGGGCAACTACATTACTTGAAACTGATCCTTTTATTCTCAGTCACTCTGGGAAAAATAGAGTTGGTCGTTGGTGTATTTGATCCAATGCAAATCTAACTCACTAATAAACTTGCACAATCACTGGGTTTCTTCTTGGCTTCATGAATTTCCTGTTGTTTAACCACCTATGCTTTACTGTGGCATATAATTCCTTCCAGGGAAATGCTGTGATCTCTTTTATTAAAATCGCATAACATCCAGGGAGTTTCACTTCTTTCAGATAATTTATCAAGCCAATGTAGATTTTTTTAACTTCCTTTTAAAATTTTATGCTAATTTTGACCCTGATTTAAGATTATTGACATTGAGATTCACCCTCTATGGACCTTAGAATTCCAGACTCATGAAAACCATTTGATCTCTAGGAACTGATTTCAGTCCTTGAAAGGCTAGCACACGCCATGGGGTCATATTTATTTTATGAGATGATTTTTTCCTAGTGAGATCAGTTAATGGAGCAGCCAGTGTTGCAAAATGTGGAATAAATTTCCAATAATATACTGCAACACCCAAAAAAGATCTCACCTGCCATTTAGTAGCCAGCAATAGGTGCATTTTAATAGCTTTGCATTTTACCTATCTCTGGTTTCATAACTCCCTTGCCCTCCTATATCTCCTCTCCCTATATATAAATATATATAAATATATATGTGTGTATGTATGGTTTCCTGCTTTCTTACTGAACACGGGGGAATTAAAAACCAACTCTGCTTCCTTGAGTTGCTGAAAGATTGCTTTCAGGTGCTATAGGAGTTCTTCCCGGGGTTTACGATAAATCAAGACAGCATCCACACAGGCCACTGCATACCCCAAATGTTTGCATAGCAGCAGGCTAGTTACTTGAAAGACACTAAGGAGCAACCCACACAAACCTCAGCTTTATGCTGAAAAAATCCAGTAAGCACTGAAAATTCTGCTGTGGTCTTGGAAGATCCTACCCTAGGTGTTGCCAATATCTGTCACAGAAATCCAGAGGGCTGCTTTTTTTCCTTGGCTCTAACAGCTGCTGGTACCCGATGCATTTACACAGCTTGCTGGAATCATTTATTGGCCTTGGTGCTGCAACACGAAGCAATCTAGTGCCAATGCCCCACATGCGCATCAGATTGAGATCTCCTCCTGAAACTTTGCCCTCTGTCCCCAGAACTCCTTCGTTTCCAGCCTGGTTATTCGGTCTCTGAATACATCAGGGTTTCAGCAAAACAAGCGTGGCAATGTAAGTGCTCCTTAGATGCTGTCTGCAGGAAGATTGTTAAAAACTGTGCGCTGAATCTATATCACACTTAAATCACACCTTTCTCACTAATCTGGCTTTCCAAAAAAATGGTAATTTTCCCCAAAAATCTGTAAAAATGCTACAATGCTCCTATGCAAATGCTGAAAGTGCACATTAAGGGGTGGGAAGGAGATGGAGGCAGCGTGGACATTTGCTCTGTCTAAATTTGGATGTCTAATTTAATTAAGATCTGGCCTGACTGTGTAACCTTCCGACGAGGTTACTCAGAGCTCTTAAATTAGGAGCCTGCTTCTTGCCATGAGCTGTGCATCAGCGCAGGCTCATATGCCTGGAGTCAGACAGTGTTTTTACACCCTAGACACGTTAGTTCGTTTGACTTTCCCTTCGCTGTGGCATATTGAAATACACCCTTCTTATTTTGTCTCAAAAAAGTCTTTATTGGCTTAGCCTTATGCCCCGCTTTAACCTCTCCTTCCCGTTTGTTATTTGTGAAGAGTCAGCCCTGATTAAAACCAGCCCCATCTTTTATAATTTGTGATTGCTGTTGCTTCCTCTCCATGGATTTCTTCCACAGGATTCAGAGTTTCCCCAGCCCAGCACATAGGAAGCCAGCATGCAGACAGGGCCAGAGAATGAGATTTCCTCTGTAGCTTTTCTTTAGTTTTTCTTCTGACTGATTTCCAGGAGAGAGATTTTATGTTGCCTATTTTTTAATATTTAAAAAAATACCCAGATTGCTCCGTCAGGGTGCTAGGTGGCCCAGCTATACGCTCCTTAACTCACGGTGGTCTTGCACTGCTTTTAGGTGCGTTAGCAAAAGTGTCTTTGTCCTTCACTTTTCCTCACTTTCCCATTCCAGTGTAAAGTGTTTGTGGATGAACGGATATTCAGTTGACTCATTTTCTCTCTTATTTCAATAAGAAAAAGTATTTACACGCATTCCGAGCACTGTGACGCCAAAGATTAAAATGACCAGAACCAAAGTGCATTTCCAGCTGCTCAGCTTTTCACCAGTAATTCCAAAAAGCCAACAAACCTCCCATTGGTTTTGCAGAGCCAAGAGTGCACTGGAGGTGTCCCAGACACCAGCCCAGGGCTGCCCTCCTCGTGGCCAGCAGTTCTGGGAACCCACCTTAACCTCAGCACGGAAACCAAATTAAACCGTGCTGACCAACTCATTATTTCCAATTCACTTTACATTTTTCTGGTCGCTTAAATGAGCATGTGAAAGGGCCGTGGGTTTGTCAGATACAGAAATAATTAAAAGCCTGCCTCTTGACTCTACTGTGCACTGCATTGAAAAAATCCACTTTTCAGCCCCGGCAATCTTCTGTGAGTCTAAAGAGGCAAGAGTCATACACTGGGTATAGTGTACCAGCAAGAGTTTCCTGATGCTTTGAGCAATTCCTTTTAAAATTATGCATAGGAAACCCAGGCTGTAACCCTAAGG